CCCCCAAATATATTGCTATAAAATAGATTTCTGTTTATATGATATTGTGGTTATGGTTGTACTTTATTAATCCCTCATCTCTGCCATTACATGTTTTAATATTTTAGGCAGGAAATGGCTTGAAATTCGTTTTCGAATTTCGATTTTTTTTCTGGGTGGGGACCCCCAGACCCCCTGGAAGATTTGGTCCCCCCCCAATGTTGACTCCATGGTGTATACACACACACACACACGGACACGTGAATTGTGATTTTCGATGTGTGTGTGTGTGTGCTCATTTGTGACACCAGCAGTTGCATCGAGTGTATGGTGGGCGAGACGTACACTCGACGCCCGCCTCGCGTCCGACAACAACAGGATCGGCAGGGGGTGGACGGTGGCTCGTGCTCGGATCTGTCGCGCGACACACCGCCCTGTTAGCACTTCACACGCTGCGAGTGCTGTGCATGCGCCGGGGAGCAGAGAGTTCGGAGTGGCGTGGGAGGAGGCGGGGACATCGTCATTACTGGGGGCCCACAAGGAATCATCGTGGGGTTGGGGGCTGCATATGTAAAGTGTTTTTTTATTTAATCACAAAGCGGGGTGGTGGTGGAGTTCTTTTAGGGGTGGGGAGCGGTTCTTTTTTGTTGTTGTTGCTGGGTTTTTTTTGTTGGTCTGTCACATGATAGGCCGGGCCGAGCCTGGGTCGCGACACAGCCAGCCTTTTGTGCTCTTTCTTTTCGCAAGCCCACGGGCAAGAGGGGAGAGAAGCCGAGTTCTCTGCTCCGCTGCCCATTACGCTCCGCACAACGGAGCCTCCGCGGACGCCCAACCGCACGTTCGCCGCACAGACAGTTCTTTGCATTTGCGTTCGCGCGATATTCACGGCTCGCCAGACGCACGCCTCCGGGAAAGCGGTGGCTTTTTTTCACGATTGCTTTCGCGAACTTGCCGAGACTGCGAATCCACGCGAGGGAAAGATGTTGACCTTCGCATCGACAAAACCGAGGTATTGTTGTGAGCCATTGCTTGCAATTCGTCGTGATCAACATCGTTGTTGTCGTCGTCGCGTTTTCTGTGATGGAGTTGAGACGAGCTCACGGACAACTTTTAACTTTGATCAAAAACTTCCGCTCGATCCTCCTTCCTATAATTTCTGAGCTGAAGCAGGGGGGGTGGGGGGGGGGGTGAAACCTGGATGCGCCATGTGTGGAAAGAACGTTGGTGTGATTCGTAACAGACGGACGACCAGGAAATGCTTGGAATGTTAGGTTCACCCTCATGTTTTGATTATGGAGTTGAATTTGTAATTTTGATTATGGATTGTTATCATGCGTTATTTGTATTGTACATTATTTCATATATTTGCTGGTCGGGTAATATACTTATGCCTAGTTATAAAATGTATACAATATTTTTTATTAATTAGAAACAAGTCGCGGATCCATGCGCGTGTAACACCACTTTATTTCATTTTATCATTGCTCTGCTTAGATTATTATTTTCATAATTAAGGGGCTTAGCATACTCATACATATTCCTTTGGAATAATAATAATGTAGGGTAATAAGAAACAGAATGCAATGGAAGTCACCGCCACGCGTTAGGTTTTGATCAGTGATAAACACATCTTGGTCCTGTTTCAAAATCGGAGCGCGACTGAGCGTGTGATGGTGGAATCGCAGCCTGGAATTACAAAACTATCCATTTTTTTTATTTAACCAGGGCCCACAGATCTAGAGCCTTTTTTCAGAAACGGCCTGGTCACAAATGATAGCTCAACGAAGTGGCTTATCACGTGGCAATTTATCGCAGCCAAATACTCTTAAACGCATGTCGATTGAAAATGTGGAGAGAAAATCTGGAGGACCCGAATAAAAAGTCACGCGACCAACGGAGAGATCATGCCAACTCAAAATATACAACAGGCGTCAGGGTGGGGATTGAACGCACGACCTCCTGTATACAAAGCGAGATAGCTCATATCTTTGCATCGCAGCGTACTCCTTTGCGATTCTGTGATGATTGTTTTTGTCATGGCTCCTGAGCACGGCTGCTGAGTGGCCAGCAACAAGCAGCGCTTGTGGAAGGTGTGACACGTGACAGAGTTACAGGATTCCAGGCTCGTCGGAAGGTGCAGCCGCATCAGCGGTCGCTTGAAGGGAGCTCAGAAGTAGTTCTGTGAAATCTCCTTCTGTCAGCTGGTGGGAGAAGGGGGATATGAAGGTGGGAGAAGGGGGATATGGAGGTGGGAGAAGGGAGATATGGAGGTGGGAGAAGGGGGATATGGAGGTGGGAGAAGGGGGGTATGGAGGTGGGAGAAGGGAGATATGGAGGTGGGAGAAGGGGGATATGAAGGTGGGAGAAGGGAGATATGGAGGTGGGAGAAGGGGGATATGCAGGTGGGAGAAGGGGGATATGCAGGTGGGAGAAGGGGGGTATGCAGGTGGGAGAAGGGGGATATGGAGGTGGGAGAAGGGGGATATGGAGGTGGGAGAAGGGGGATATGGAGGTGGGAGAAGGGAGATATGGAGGTGGGAGAAGGGGGATATGCAGGTTGGAGAAGGGGGGTATGGAGGTGGGAGAAGGGGGGTAAGGAGGTGGGAGCAGGGGGATATGGAGGTGGGAGAAGGGGGGTATGCAGGTGGGAGAAGGGGGATATGGAGGTGGGAGAAGGGGGGTAAGGAGGTGGGAGCAGGGGGATATGGAGGTGGGAGAAGGGGGGTATGCACGGCTGCTGTTGTGCCAGACCACTGAATGGATCGTTTGTCTCGTGAAATTAATGCCGATGGTACAATGGGAATACAATTGAAGGGGGGATAGACCACAGCAATCGATTGTTCTTCTCATGGTGCGTACGTGCTTAAAGTGATACAGGCAAGTATGCGTTCACTTTGCTATTTCTGTAAATTATATGCAAATGTTGATATTCACGGTATTGGAAAAAAGTCAACGCAACACAGCACAAATGAAACACACAATGCAAACGAGCCAGCAGAACGAGAAGACAAAATGCGTATTCTTGAATCAAATTACTTCACCAACCCATTCTTTGAATCAAGTCCAGGCGGTTCCCAACCACGAAGCAACCCATTAGCATTCATCCGTGTCTTCTTTGACCCCACCCCCTCCCAACCTCACCCCGTCTCGTCTTCTTGGCAGCGCCATTACACCCTCCCCTCTTCTCTTCTTATTCCTTCCCCCCCCCCTTCCCCATTTCTCGCGACGCGACCAGACCGCTTCAGTCAACCGAGAAGGGGTCGTCGCCCTGCGCTGCGCCGGTTTTCGTTGAATTGCGTCGGGTGGCAGAGGAGCTGTTGAATCTTTAGTCCGCTACGATTGAGGCTGCGTCGGGCCTTTTGAGTTCTAACGTCATTTCTTTGCACGGGGGTGCCGTTAGATTCAAAGAGAAAGCCCTTGGAAGCAAAAAAAACCTACGGGAACCGGATGACGAGGCGATATCGTCATACCTCGTTCTAAACTGCCAAAACCAAAAATCGAATAACAGAGACACGCGATTGCAATATTGATCCTCTATTACAGTTATGCTTAAGCGTCATACCTCGCTCTAAACTGCCAAAACCAAAAATCGAATAACAGAGACACGCGATTGCAATATTGATCCCCTATTACAGTTATGCTTAAACGAGCAAGGTCGGGTGACTCGTCCTGATGAATTAATGAACAGATTGATTAGTTATATGCCAGCCTAAAGGTGGGGTGGGTGTATCGAGGCTGTGGGGAGTGTAGTTCCAATGCATGTTAACTGAAAATAAAAATGCTGTGCGGTTAAGGGAGCCAGATCAGAATCAGAATCTTTATTTAGCCTGCAGGAAGAATCCGATGAGCTATGTAAATCTTTTTCAGAGATATCCATTATGGGCAGGTCCGCGATAGGAGTGCAAAATGGAGACAAGTCACTAATTATAAATAACATTTATTACCTAAGTTTCATTCATCAATATTGGCCAAGGCAGCAAGAACGACAACAAAACGGACCCAGACAACACCAAGATAACACCAGAGTCGTAGTCCCTCACTAAAATGGCACATTAACATTGAAATATCGATTAAAAAACAGGCAATGACCAAAGTTACGAATAATATTTGCAAATGTGACTGCTATATCCATCACAAATCTTCTGCTTCAGGACATTTTTTTTCCTGAAGGAAATTTTACGATGTTAAGGGTTGGAAACAAGGTCGTTCCAAAACGCTGGCACTGCCGAGGGGCCGTATTCTCGGTTGCACCTCTGCTCTGGCTCGGCTGAGGCTGGAGCCTCTTCAGTGGCTTCCAAAGACGCACGAGCGAGCGGCTCAAACCCTGGGCTTGGGGGCTCAGCCCTCGTGGAATTGCTGAGCGCGGCTTGGGACCATGCTCAGAAGCAGCTCACCTGAGCCGGAGCCAGGCGAGGATGTTGGCCTAAATGGCCTGCGTGAATGTAAAGACGAGGTGTGAAGTCGGTACGGACCGTGCCCTCGTTCTCCCGCTCGCTCTGTCTCGCATGTACGTGTGTATGCTGAACTTACTCTTAGGTTTTTTCGGTAGAGTCACGTAGGTAAAAAATAAAATTTAAATTAATAAAAGTAAAATAAAAAATCACGAAGTTTCGGAGGCAACACAAGCTTCCATCTTCAGGTGGAACCGTCACAGCACGATAGCTGTATCACTTAATAAAGCAATCGTATCACTTGATACAGCAATCGTGCTGTGACGGTTCCACCTGAAGACGGAAGCTTGTGTTGCCTCCGACACGTCGTGATTTTTTATTTAACTTTTAATGTTAATTACATTTTTTGCCTACGTGACTTTACCGAAAAAACCTAAGAGTATGAATCATTGCAGTCACGAAAGCTTCAAATCTATGCTGAACTTCTTAGCCAACTGTGCCCATTGACCGAATCTGATCTCGTGGGATCTCGGAAACCAAGGAGAGTCGAACATAGGATGGGCAACCACCAGCAGTGCTTGCCAGGTGTTGTAGGTTGCGGGGCTGTAAGGCCTGTGGTCTCTGTTACAGGCGGAGCTGGGAGAGTGGCTCTCCATGATCGGGCTGTCTCAGTATCAACGACTGCTGGTGGAGAGCGGCTATGACAGCGTGGAGTTCATTACGGACATCACTTGGGAGGACCTGCAGGAGATCGGCATCACTAAGCTAGGTGCCTCCTGCACCTACACGTCTGCTTGTCTTTCCCTCTGCCTGTGTATTAGTCTGTCTGTCCATCCGTCTGTATGCCCATCTCTTCACCTGCCCGTCTTACCGTCTGACTTTTCGTCAGCAAGCTATGTGCGCTCCCTATACCCGCAGAGTACCCGCAAACCTGCGTGGCTCTGTATCGTTCCAAGCTATGTGTATCCTCCATCCAAATCAATGTCTGGCACGTGGTCTGTAATCCAGCACGGTGGAAGCGAGGGTTGGTGAATCACACCGATGTTGTTGGTGAATGTGAATCGGCCACCCTTCCTGGCCAATAACCCGAGGCGCACGCTGCCACCGTCTCGCCTGCCCCCACCCGGCCGCCTGCCTGCCCGCCGCTAGGCCACCAGAAGAAGCTGATGCTGGCCGTGCGCAAGCTGCTGGAGTTGCAGCGAGCCGAGCGAGCCGCGTCGGGCGACGCCAACTCTCCCGAGCGCCGCCCTCCGCGCAGGGTCCGCCTGGCCTCCACGAGCCAGGACAGCGGCGAGAGCCAGGACGGGCGGTCGGGCCGCGCGGGCGGCGCCCGCAGGGCGAGCAGCCCCCGCGTGGGTCGCTCCGGCACGGAGGGCGCCCTCCCCGAGGATCCTCCGTCGTCTCCGTCGTCTTCGTCGGCGACGCTCCCCGGCGGAAAGTCGACGGGCATGCAGGGAAAGCCGCGGAGCTGCGGCGGCGGCGGAGGCGGCGCGTCGCCGTACAAGGCCTTCACGCCGCCGCAGACGCCCACCCGCTCCCGCCCGGCCTCGCCGCTCGTGCGGGCGGCCACGGGCGGCGCGCAGCTCGGCCACCGCTCCCCAGAGCGGCCGCAGACCCCGCCGCCGGCGTCGGGGGCCGCCGCGCCGCGCCTACAGTCGCAGCGCTCGTTGCCGCAGTCGCCCACGCGCAAGGGCTTCGCGTACGTCCCCGCGCAGCACCTGGAGGGCGGCGTGGCGCTCGTGACCACGGGGAGGCTCGCCCAGCCCCAGCCCCAGCTCCAGCCGCAGCCGCCGCCGCCGCCGCCGCTGCTGCCGCCGCCGCCCGGCGCCCAGGCGCTGCCCCTGCTGCGGCTGCCGGCGCAGGGCGCCGAGGAGGAGCTGGGCGGCGCCGAGGGCGGGTGGCGTGCGGGCGTCGCGGAGCCGTCCGAGCAGCTGCTCGGCGAGCAGCAGGCGCACTGCCTGGACCTGGCGACGGCCGCGCTGCACCAGCAGCAGCAGCGGGTGAGCCGCAGCCAGTCGGCGCGGGCGGGACAGTGCGGCGGCGGCGGCGGCGCAGGCGGCGTCGGTATCGGCGTCGGCGGCCTTGGGGGAGGCACGGTCGACCGCAACGTGAACCGGAGCCAGTCGTTTGCCGTGCGGCCCAAGAAGAAGGGGCCGCCGCCGCCGCCGCCCAAGCGCTACAGCTCGGCCATCACGAGCACGCAGTTCGGCGACACGTTCGAGCGCGACCGGGCCGCGGAGGCCGTCGCGATGATCGCGCCGCGCGGAGAGGCCGACGGCCCGGCGGCAGCGGCGGCCGATTCGAGCGAGGACAGCGGCATCGAGACGGCGAGCGCCGGCAGCGTGCGCAGCATCGCCGCCAAGCTGGAGATGACGTCGCTGGGTGGGCGCGGCCGGGGGTTGAGGCCGGGGCTCCTGCAGAAGCCGCTCAGGGTGGACAAGCCGTCCCCGGCGGCGGTGGCGGCGTTGGCCGTGCCGCCCGTTGCCATCGCTCGGCCGCTCGTGGCGCGGGAAGGCGGCTCGGATGCGGAGCAGCAGCAACGGCACAGGGCCAAGGCGGTCGGCGTGCGCAGGGAGAGGTCGGGCGACCGGCCTCCGCCGTACGAGACGGCGACGCTGCCGCGCGTCAGCCGCCTCTCGTCGCGCTCGAGCGTGGACAGCGAGGACACGCTGAGCCTGATGCACGCCATCAAGCCGCTGCCCACCGCCAGCCTGAGCATCGACGAGCCCAACAACCACGTCGCCGCCGCCGCCGCAGGCGTCGTCGTCGGCACCGCCGCCTTGACCGTCGCGCCATCATCTTCCGAAGGTGGTGGCAGCCGAAAGCGCACGCTCAGCGACTCCAGGTCGCACTCGCTCAAGGAAGCATCACCGATTAAAGAAGCGTTGCAGCAGCAGCAGCACAAGGACGAGGCTAAGTCGGACACGGAGGAGGAGGAGACGGCGGTGGCGGCATCGCTGGGCGGCCCCGCGGCACTCGCCGAGCGATCGCCCGCCTCGTCGCAGAACAGCTCCTCTGAGTGCATCCCCTTCGCCGAGGAGGGGAACCTCACCATCAAGCAGCGGCCCAAGCCCAAGCCCAGCGAGGACGACGACGACGAGGACGGGTCCGCCGTGTTCGCCGAGACGGAGCGCGCTCCGCCGCCGCCCGCCGCGGGGGGACAGGCGGAGGAGGAGCTCGCCGCGGGCTCTCCCGACTCGGAGTCGGAGTGCGCCGGCCTGCCGGAGTTCTATCTCATCGAGTCGGACACGGTCAAACGCAGGCCCAAGTCCAAGGACCAGAGGGAGCAGCCTCAGCAGCCTCAGCAGCAGCAGCAGCAGCTGCTGCGAGCGAGGAAATCTTCCGGCGGGGGAGGCGAGGTCGTGGAGCGAGCGCTGGCGGACTGCGCCGTCGATCGCTCGGCGATGAGCGGCGGGAAGCCGGCGCGGCAGCGGCCGTACACGATCGCCGAGGCCGGCGCCGGGGCGGAGGCCGCGACGACGACGACGCCGCCGTCGCACATGAGCGGCGCGCGCACCGACTCGGCGCTGGCGAGCCACGCGGCGCCGGCCGCCGGGTCGCCCGGGGCCCGCGCCGCCGACCTGCTGGGCGGAGCCGTGGCGGAGCCCGGGAGGCACGGCGCGGACGCCGGGGGAGGGCGGCCGCCCAAGCCGCCGCTGTCGCCGAAACCGGCGCTGGCGTCGCACGCGCTCAAGAGGCTGGGGCCGCCGGCGCCGCCCAAGAAGACGTCGCTCCTCGCCAGCCCAGGTGAGCGCCGTTTGGTTGGTGGGGGCCGTGAAACTGATAATTCTTCATCCATTTTCTGATTCCAGGGATTTTAAACATTCTTTTTTTTTTCTTTTTTACAATTTTGTAAGAAGACCTTTACTCTTCTTGGTTCTTTCGGTAAAGTCACGTAGAAGGGAAATAATAAAATAATAAAAATAAAACATAATTAAACAATTCGCACGACGTTTCGGCCACAACGCAAGTAGCCGTCCTCAGGTGAAAACCAGGTCTGTCGAGGCGACAGCGTCTGCCAGACTTGGTTTTTACCTGAGGACGGATACTTGCGTTGTGGCAGAAACGTCGTGAGAATTGTTTTATTATGTTTTATTTTTATTATTTAATTACTTCCCTTCTACGTGACTTTACCGAAAGAACCAAGAAGATGAATCCCTGCAGTCACGAAAGCTTCAAATCGGTAAAGACCTTTACTCTTTTTTTAAAATGCTCATTAGGCTTTTTTCAACAGAATTCAGCTGGGAAATGCGATTTTCTTTCTCGAACAAAATGACATTGCCATGGCGTTAAAATATTCATTCCCAAAAAAAATTATTCACGCCTATTTTTGCACGATTTATATTCGTGTTAGTTGGGGGGATATTCAGATACGATTTTTTGTAAGACTATGGTTTAATTACATAAGCCCTGCTACTGACGCACACGTTCTGTGAATGGATATTGGTTCGCTAGACATGCCCTACTCATAGGGCAAGGTCAGACTACACTTCTACATTGCCTTCAGTGTTGTATACTAAACACAGAAAATGCATTAGCATATGGAGTGTAATGATAAAAGCTAAAAGCGGTTAAAGGCACGCAAGTTTTGAGCATTTAATAATCTGCAGGGCAGTGAGCTAATAACACCATTGCCTAATTCAAACACACACACACACGTGATTGTAATAAAGTAATTCCTAACCACAACACAATGATGTTGTTTTAATTAACAACTCGTCGTACAACTCAAACACACAGCAGAGAGCTGTAGAGCACAAATGCAATGAACATCCGTCGCAAAAAATCATGATGACCTTACCGTTGCTGTTATCTTCATTGTAGAGTTTCGGAGAAAAGGTGTTCCACCTCCAGTGGCCCCCAAACCTCCGCTAGCCTTGAGAGCAGGAGTGACTGGCTGGTCTGCCGGCACCCACCAATCAGTACCAGCGGGACAGCAGCAGCAGCAACCACAGCAACCACAGCAGCAGCAGAAACAACAACAGCAGCAGCAACAGCCGTCATCCACGAGTGGCGACACCGGCGCCTCTCCGTCGCCCAACAAACCCACACCGCGCCCGTCCAGCAGCCCCCCCTCGGCGGCGTCCAGCCCAGCCAGAGCGGGACAGATGGTCCCGTCCGTGGTGGCTCCGGGCAACCCGCCCGGAGCCGCCGAGACGCCGTCGTCGCAGGCGCCGGCAAAACCGGCAAGGGAAGGGGAAGCGGTGCCCGACGCCGAGGTCGCGAGAGCCGCAGAAGTCGGCGCCGAGCCGGGGAAGAGCGGCGCGCGGGCGACGGCGGACGACGGGGAGAGGGCGAGAATGGGGAGCGCTGGCGATGGAGCTGCTGCTGCCGCTGCCGCCGCCGTCACTGCCACCGCACCGTCGGAAAACTCACGAGACGCCACCGCCATCGCCACCAAGTTGGCCCCCGGCGACTTGGCGCAGCAGCCATCGGCCAGGGACGGCACAGGTACGCGTGCGTTGCTGTGATAGAGGCGTAGGGATTCATTGGCTGATGTAGAACAGGCGTGATCCAGCGACAGAGCGGTTGACGCTCGGTGCAGAGGTTTGTGGTTCAAGCACAGCGGCCGCCATGGTGGCGAGTGGTGGTGGAGTTGTAGTGCCCTCTACTTCGTTCAGAGGCCACGAAACCTGCAACGTTCTAACTGCCGTCCACTTTCACAGAGGTCTATTCGACTACAAACTAAGTGAATGATCTCATGGAATAATCGTTCCGCAGTCATTGGTAACCAACTCGCTACACTTGGGAACACTGTTTCGTCACGGGCAGATGAAGCCCAGATTCGAACTAAGAACCTCCGCAGCGACCCTGGAGCTACCCGGCCACCTAACTAACCCAAATGATAACGTTCATCTTAGTTTAGGAAAACACTGCAGGGCACAAATGCAACACGAGGGCTTATGCTTGAAGCTATTAATTTGCTGGCTGTCACTTACACTGATGGATGGTGGTGGTGGTGGTGTCTCCTTGCGCCCCAGGTGAAGCCAACCATTCTGGCAAGACTCCGACCAGACTCGAGCTGTCTCGGGACGCCCCCTCCCTGGAGGAGCGCATTGAACAGCTGCAGAGACCAGAGTGAGCCCAACGCTTGCACACACACACACAGCAACCAGACACACATCCACCCTGCAGCCTTTAAACAGGCTGTCGGGGCAAGTGCTGTTAGCAAGAACCAATGAGAGGCTCGTATGGCATACGAAATGGGGTGGGCTGTCAGCACCGTCCTCTGCCACATTTGTCTCCCCAAACACTGCACCAGGTACTTAAGGCTCATTTGACCTCGGGAAAGGCGCAGGACCCGTTTGTCACCGATGTTGGCTGCGTGCAAGTGTACACGCATGTGAACGCGTGGTGGTGTGGCTGACGTCATGCCTTTGGACCTCTGGTGCTGATGTTCACACACTACACCATGCACAACGATTCAGATGTGCGCCCACTGGCTCTCACCGGGACACGTGCCTTTGCCTCCCTAGTTGCAAAGGTGGCTGCACCAGGTACTCATTTGAGCCCGAGTCCACCTAGGGGAGGCCCAAGACCGATTAAAATAATTGTCACTGGTCTTGGCCCTGAGCAGGAATCGAACTTGTGTGGCCAGCTTCATTGGGCAGCGCACTCCGCGATCACTCTCACACATACACATACAAGCAGGCACACACACATGCACACAATCACGATTTGAACCGGTCAACAATAATTATAAGATTTGTTTAAAGAGCCCGCATTGTAAAAGACGTGACGCACAACGTTGAAACTCACGCCGATGTCTGCGTCTGTGTCTGTGTGCGCGCACGCACCTGTGCACAGTGACGCCTCGGGGGAGCAAAAATCTACGGGCAGCATTCTGGACGACATCGGGACCATGTTTGACGATCTTGCCGACGAGCTGGACGCCATGCTGGAGTAACGGAGCCGGCTGGGTGCCTCTCTGTGCCACGTAGCCAATGGCCCCGCGAAGGAAGTTCCACCACCACCACATTCCACCTGCCCCTCACCACCGCCACACCCCACCGCACCCCGTTCGGTCCCATCTCCCCCTCCCTCCAACCCTGACCTCACCCCTGACCTCACCACTGACCTCACCTCTGATCTCACCCCTGACCTCACTCCTGCACCACAGTTGTCCCCAAATCTGCCCCCCGGAGAGGTAGTGCGCTTTCGCTGCGAGCGTGAATGAATTTGCTCCTCTCGCCCCCTTTCATTTTATCCAGTTCTTCCTTTCGGGCTCGCTGCGTCGTTTTGCTGGACGTTCTCTCTGAAGCCCCTTGTCTCCGCTCGTTCTCCGGTCGACACTCGCCATTCACGTCCCGACACCGTGAAGCCCGTCGAGGCAGAGGGCCTCTCGTGAAACGAGGTGCAACGAAAGAGGGAAGAGACACGGACGTGCCTGAAGTTTGGGGGGGGGAGCGGGGGGGGGGGCTTTTTGTGCGCCCTCACGAATCGAACGTGCGCCGTCTAAATTCGGGTCTTGTATTGCAGCGTGCGCCTCGTTCCTACTGGCACCAAACCTGTCCCACGACCCCTGCCGAGGCCTCCCGCAGAGCAGCGTCGTGGAGGAATTGACGAGAACAGGCTTTTTCACTGGCACGTCACTTCCTTGTCTCACTCCTAACGCCACTGTCTAGGCCATCATCGCTCCTAGGAGCTGCATGCCGTGATGCCACCTCTGAGTTGGGGACGAGGTCTTCCACGCCTGGCCTTGCTCTTCTCAACCGAGCTGCTTGCTACTGCCTCGTGGCAGAACGGAATCTTTCCTCATTCTCCTCATCTCCCCGCACGGCTTGACTTTGGAACTTTTGTCCTTCTGTCTTTCCGACCCCAATTAAGCCCATCAGCCCTCGGCCCCTGCAGTCTCGCTAGAGTTCTCACCGTTGCTGGCCGCATCGCATTGAAAGCTTCAGGGACTCGACTTATCAACTGCATTTTGGAAGCACAGGAGAACTTCAATAGCACTGGGGACTTTGGCTCAATAGTAGCCGGTTGGTGAAGATGGGAGGGCTCCACAGAGTTACGTTGAGGAGCTTCGGACCTTCTTAAATGGCTCGTGGGAGTTGAGCCTGACGAACGGACAAGCGTGGGGGGCAGTGCGGGGAGTTTGTGTGAGTGACACTGGGTGACACTGGGGAGTGGGGGCGAGAGAAGGAAGCAGGTGGAGGGGCCTTGGAGGCGGATTATCACACCGAGAGGATCGAAGTATTTTGTGGAAGTCTTCGGCAAGTGCAGCGCAAGAGAAAGAAAAAACACAAACGCAAACCCAACGGAGCCGATGGCCATTATTGGGTTCTTCACGCCAAGTCTTCAAAAGCATTCGCACGTGACTATGAACGACCACCCCCCAAGCTTCAGCGATGATGTGCCCCAAACTAAACCGCCACAGGCTTAGTACGGCAAGCTCATTGGAAACGTACCATGGGGTGGTGGGTGGTGGTGAGAGGTTTGAAGCTGCGGCATCAGAAAACTCACCTCGTTTGACGCCGCAGCAACAACATCGTCAACGAATTGTGAGGGGGGAGGGACATTAAGAGAACCATGGAACAGAAGCTGAGGATTCAAACTGACTTGTAAATGAAAATATCATCGCAGCGACAGCAGAAAATAAAATAAAAATAGAAGGTGGGAAGACAAATTGAATAATTCCCAGGCACCGCCCTGTGTTGTATCTTTTGCTCTGCCGTGTGGAGGTGATGTCTGTGTTGTTCTCGACGGGGTTTTCCGCTTTGGTCCGAGTGCCACCGTGCGCTGCTACTGCTGCTGCTGCTGCCGCGTGTTTAGGGTTTAGCGTTCGTGTCGCCTGTTTGAGCGCAGAGCTCCACGGACAATCAGCCAATCAACGTTTGCACTTAAGTGGCTTCTTACGTTTTTATATTATGTTTGCCATCATTTGCGATTTGATATTCGGTGTTGCATTCTATTATTATTATTTGTTGATATTTTATGAGCAGACGACTGTAAGACAGAATGAAATACAGTCTTTAACTTTTTTGTTTGTTTCGGATGTAATTGTGCCTTTAATTTCCATCATTTTCATTTGTATAATATGACTTTAACGGGTTTTTTTTTCTCCAGCCGTACAATGACTGAAGTGGTTTTCTCGTCAAGTGTTCATAAAAGCTGTCGGTGATGCCCCACATTTTTTGCGGGGATAATCTTGTGTAAGCAGCACGACCTAATTAAGTCACTGTTTTGACTGAAGCACACATTGCACACTCGGGTTGATGGACCACAACTGCCAGCCGCAAATGCTTACACATCTTGTGAGCAAATAACGGAGACAGCACAAAGTGACAGATAGACCCAACGCATTCGAGGCGTCGGTGGCAACTTGGCTGCCGTTACACAGTTACATTAATCCCGGGTGGATCCGGTGGGAGAGGATCAGGTGCGAGAGGATCAGGTGGGAGAGTGACGGCTTTAATCCAGATGGTTGGACACTCACAGACCACAACCGCTTGAGGTCGGCTGCCGACTGTGCATCCTCTGGGGGGGCCCTGGCAGGAGGACGGAAGCTAGGGCGAGGTGTGACATTTGTCACGATGATTCCGACTTGAATTCAATTTGTTCTGTCGTGAAGTGACCTGAAGTGACCGGATCAGAGCGAGACCTTTGTTAGTGGCAACTAACAAAAGGCCCAGCCCATTTCTTGTAGGCATGTGACAAGTAATCGGTTCACCCTCGCATGAATTATCAAACGTAAAACCCCCCTTAACAAAAAGTTAAGTTTGGTTTATTGTGAGTTTGGGAGTCAAATAAAAGCCCCCAAATGTGTTGAAGAAATGTCATGTACTTTCATAGAATTCATATTAAAGCATAGCAGTCCACTAGAGTGGACATTATGCATCAGAGGGTTAATATGAGTGATTACACTCACAATACATGCTTGTAGGAAACAATAATTACACAGCCCTTGGTCTATCCACTGCTGGACGAAGGCATCTCCACACCAGCCGCATCGCCCACGGGAGTTGTTGGACCATACTTCACCACGCTGGTCAGTGCAGGTTGGTGAAGTGGGTGGGGCCCAGGACCGGTGCAGTTTCCTCTCGCCACTGACGTCAGCCGTTGACAGGAATCACACTCAGAGCGCCAGGTCCATAGCCCAGTGAGCTAACAACTGCACCACCACTCCACGCCCAATTTTTTTTTATCCAATCACATGGAAATTCAATTCAAGTGATACATTTAGGCTGATGGGACACCTTGACACAGTGCAAAAAGAGCGTACAAGAAAAGTGATTCTGTAGATTAATCTAAAAATGAGGTATAAATTATTCTGGAATCAAATCCTGACATTTCATAAAATGGTGAGGTTAGGACGATTGTTCCATACATATTGTAACCTCGGAAATAACCCTCTGATAGCATTTGATGCCGTGCAAACTCCATGAAGGGGCGAAGGCACGTCACCGTTTCGTTTTCCTCCACCCAGCGTTGAGGTGATAAGCCTGGCCGATGAACCGACGCGGGAGAGGAACGAGGATCTGCCACTGGCTTCGGCCAAATACTTTCGACTGAACCCATTCGCCAATCGCCACCGCAGGTCCAAGACTGGCGAGGAGTTGACGTTGGGACTGAACGTTAACAATTGTAGTTATGCAGAGGAGGCAACGGTGGTGGGTGATGAGTTCCACAGTTTATCAGAAATGGCTGTGAATGACGAGCCAAGGTCGTTTGTGTAGCAGAACATGATTTTGGTTCTGTATATACTGTACGTTGAACTTATTTCGTACCGCACGTAGCACAACCGTGCTAATGGGAGGTGCTGGGGAAGGACAACGAACTAAACACAACAAAAAAAAACAAATCTGTTAGGAACACGTGCTTTAGGACTGCATTCGTGTAAGTTTAAATTACCCTCGTTCCGTACTACTTGTCTTCTGATGAATTGGGCATTTGTTCACAATGCAATCTCTATTAGTAATTACAGCCTCGTTCTGGTTTACATCCATTAAAGTCATTGGCAGTTGTATTGTGAATTTGCCATTGTAGGGTGTAGGTGTACGTGATCAAGCTGCATTCGATATGCTCGAGTTTGTGCAAGAGGCAACCGTGCTCTGACAGTTGCTGTTAAACGCTCCACAGCTTACCGCGAATAGGGCTGCCAAGTATTCGAAGCTGAAACAAGACGTAAGAAATACCCCTGGCTAAACATTGAACCGATACTTAATATTATTGAGCACAATTCTTCACGCAGTTGGTGGCCGAGCTGCATAAATAACCCACCTTATATTGTAATGATAAATTGAAGAATCCATTCCAGTGAAAGCGTCTTTTGCAAGCAGCCACAGAGTCACACGGGGACATTAAAACGCTTATTTTTGTGAAAAGTCGGGTGAGATGGTTTTGAGTAATTTACAGGCACATAGTGGCCGATGGATTAATGCATTATTTTGTTCAATAACAATGTGTTGATTCATTGCTTCAAATCGATTTAACTCTCAATACATGCATATAATTGTCCACGAATTTATGATTTCCCATTCATGCCAATTGATTTACAAATGATCAACAACACTGCTGTAATGCTGAAATTAAGAATAACAGTAGAAACAAAACTCTTACACACAAGACGTAATTAATTTGGGAAAATACAAAGGAGAAGGTACATTTTTTACACATTTTATTCTTAAATATCACCACGACACGACAGTTAATGGCATCGCTAGTGGCAGCTGAAGCTGAACTTAGAAAGTCGTTGATGGCCAAATGATTCGGCCAATTATCAAGATTCAGGATGAGCGGCTCCAATGAGGAATCCGTTTATGTTTGTTTCTTATCCATTCAATAGAGCGACCTCTGGTGGCTGTGGAAATCACATAGACCCATTATAATGCAACGTGATTGGATGCACGGTTGGAAGAGCTGATTTGCGTATGAATCGATACATTGTTGCAGCTCCACTCGTGATCAGCTCATCGCCAAAGTCGACTGCAATGCACAGTGTGTTCCTGCAAACGCAGCTTATGACTGAATTTAGGACACACAACTGTTGTGACTGTTACAATTTTTTCTGTTTTAATCTCAGAAAGGTATTGTGTGATTTTTATTTGAGCAAGGGCAGCTGGCAACAATGCGAGTTTATTTGAAAGTGTCACCTGCGATAAGAAAAAAACACACGTGTTTCTTTACTCCCTCTGTCTTGCCCTCTACTCCCTCATTTTTATTCGATGTGTAATGTTATCGACCATTCAAAAGGAAACGACAATCTGAATCTGCCGATGTAGTGTGGCACCAGGCGTACGGCTGTGTCCACGACTCGCACGGCGAGTAGCTGTGATCACAGCAAGCGGCGCGACTCTCTCCGGCTGAGTGAAGCATCATCGCAAGTCAGCGGTGGCACGAACCGATGTTCCTCGTTCATATTGGGGCTCGTTTGCATTATTTAACGGGCCCCAAAAAGTACCACTTCTTTTGAGAAGTCCATCGAGTCCTTTGGACAATCCGCCTCCTGCCATGGGAATGTGGAATTTCCACCACCGACCGGCTCAGGGCCCCCAACAAAGATGAGTGACCAATTTTGACCCAACGCAGCTTCAGTGAGTCACAGGACTCGTGTTCAGTTGGCTCCGACCTTCGGTTATTTTGACCAATAAAATTTAATTCTCAAGTGATTTTGCACGTGGGTGGACAACCCAGAGTGCCCGGAGAAACTTCACGCATACGAGGAGCGAGACAGATAGCTAGACACCCCCTTCTCCCCCCAATAGAAAATGCATATCTCAAACTCACATTCTCTCTGAATAGAGCTACGGGCAATGCTTGCGGCAAACGACAGGATGAGGCTTGCAGTAGTGTGGGCCTTTGTCGATTAACTGCGATCAACCCTTTCGTGTACAAAGCACAAGGCATATGAACGTATGGACTCGAGCCCACTTAGAGGGCCTTAGGAGCAAACACCACACTCTTTAACTGCCTTTCTGGGTCTTTGCTTAAAAAATAAATCTCAGCAGCACATAAGAGATATATACAGCCAGGACTGTAATAATACCTTGCACAATTTCTGCTGGTCAAAACTCGGCCAGCGGGTAAGATACAATTAGATTATATATTAAATATGATAAGAATGAAAAGTATACGTATATAAAAAAAATAATTATATATATTATACACACCGAGAGGTTGTGGACAAATGGCCGGGAGAAAATATTTACAAGTTAGACGTATTAACTGTACAGCTACAAAAAAAAGAATCGAAGCACAGATGAGTCGGTGAGCGTATCGCGGGTTCAGCTGTGTGTGTGTGTTGCGCCGTCTCGCGGGCGCGCGCGTGCCCGTGCAGCAGCGCGCGTGCCCGTGCAGACGCGCGCGTGCTAGTGCAGCAGCGCGCGTGCCCGTGTGTGCGTGTGCAGCATGCCAACGAGCACAGACAACGGCAGTCGCGTGTCGGGCTGCTGCTGCGGCTCCCTTGTTGTTTTGTTTTTGTCGATGGGAATGTGGACGCTGGGCGAATGGGGATGATGTCCGGGCAGTTCTGTAATGTCGTTGTGAGATGGTTAAAAGGCGACGTTGTGTTAATTTTGTCTTTTCAATGTCGCTAGCCCCTCTGAACGTGGGGTTCTTTACTGTGAGGTGGTGTCAAAACTATGTTCTGTGTTGCAAACAAACAAAAAAACACGCAGGTGACCCATCCGTTCATTCCCCTGTTTGGTTTCATAGGGCTGTTGGGACGGGTGCTCTGCGAACGAGCGCCTATTTAGGCCGGCACGGCACAAGTGATGGGGGTTGTTTGGGCATTCGGCGTGAATAACCTTACATCGATTGATGTATGTCGATGTTTATGCTTGCGATAGATACCTACATCGAATCGCGTATTGCGTTTTTTTCTTCTTCCTAATGCGCGTACGTTGTAGTTACTAAATTCGCGTAAGCCCTGCAGCCCCAAGAGGTGCTAACCATTCAAACATGTAATCGTATCGCGACCCTGAGTCGAGTAATCCACGGAACCATGCGGGAGGTTATAGCCCTAATAGCCAACAGAATATGTTGATTGACAGTGGGATCCAATAAATATTCGGATGGCAAATGATAATTGCCGTTGGGCACGGTGGGGATTCGAACGCAGGTCGCCATATTCCCAGCGCAATGCACTCAACCACCGCAAACCACCACTGCGTCACGCACCCACGACCGCGCGCACGCGAACGCGGCACGCGCCAGCACGCGGGCGCTTGCCGAGCTCAACCCGGCCACACGTTGTCTCGTCGTCAGCATCTGCGACAAGGGACGGTGGCTCCAGGGCTCGAGCTGACCCGCCACTGAGCGTGGTGTGCTCATCGCTCGCCCGTTCGTGTTGCAAGCACGGTGGTCCAACTCGTGTTGAGCCTCCGTTTTTCCACTGCGGAATACTTTTTTTGACACCATGACGTAATCCCGCATCTCCGTCGGCCTCAATACTGCCAGACGTGCAGCAAAAACCCACACACACTACACACAAAGGAAATGTCACGTAAACGCTAGGTATGAAAAAAAGTAAAAAAAAGTGAAAAGGTGTTCAAAACGAGACACAAAAAAACATAGAGAAACCGAATTCAATTGTTATCGTGAGGTGCGCTGTGCATTATGTGGTCTGTACATTTCAATGTTTGCTAGGACATTCGCTTTGTGCAGAATTCGCACGCAGTCTGAGCTGACAGTCGATGGCTATTCCCAGATTGTTTTTATATATATAAATAAGATGTGCGGCGATCGATCATCCCTTGCAAGACGTGCCCCCCCCCCCCCCCATGTATGGAGTTCAAGCAGGGTGGGAGTGGGGGCCTTGTGAGCAAACATGCACCCCCAATGAAACCTCCGGAACTCCCACCCCAACCCCGAACACAATACAAATAAATGTAAGCTAAGGATAACGATGCTCGTGAAGGTGTGCGTCGCCCTCTTCTTTCTGTGCGTCGCTCTGCTTCCGTCGATTCGCGTGTAAGGGGGGCGCGTGGGGAGCGGTGGGGCAGCGGTGAGCGCGCCGTTCTACGAACCCAGCGGACCGAGTTCGATTTGCCACTCACGGCCAACACCGGCGACGATTGTATTGAGCCGGTGCCTGGGCCTCACGTAGGTCGACTCAGCCTCAATTAAGTACCTGGCGCGCTGTGTAAACGTCGCTAGTGGGGAGACAAAAAGCGTGGTGCTGGCCACCCACCCGCTTCGTGCGCCGTTCCGGCCTTCATAGGTGCTCGCTAACAGCACTTCCCCCAAACAGTCTGTTACAGTCTACACGGGGGATCTTTGTAGATGCTCCCACACAGCACTTACCCCAAACAGTCTGTTACAGTCTACACGGGGGATCTTTGTAGATGCTCCCACACAGCACTTACCCCAAACAGTCTGTTACAGGCTACACGGGGGATCTTTGTCTTTGTGTTGCTCTACCCAGGAATTAAGCCACCAAGAACACTCCACGATGAGTTTCCATCAAATCTCGAAGGGGTTTTTAGGCGAGACTGTAAAACCAAATTCGAAAAAGAGTTGCCCTTGAAAGTAATGGCGCTGTGCCGCACACTCGCTCGCGTAGCGCTCGCCCGCATTATGACGTGGCCCCAGGAGATGGACACGTGACCCGAGGAGATGGACACGTGACCCGAGGAGATGGACACGTGATCCGAGGAGATGGATACGTGACCCGAGGAGATGGACACGTGACCCGAGGAGATGGACCCGTGACCCGAGGAGATGGACACGTGATCCGAGGAGATGGACACGTGACCCGAGGAGATGGACACGTGACCCGAGGAGATGGACACGTGACCCGAGGAAATGGACACGTGACCCGAGGAGATGGACACGTGACCCGAGGAGATGGACACGTGACCCGAGGAGATGGACACGTGATCCGATGAGATGGACACGTGATCCGAGGAGATGGACACGTGATCCGAGGAGATGGACACGTGACCCGAGGAAATGGACACGTGACCCGAGGAGATGGACACGTGACCCGAGGAGATGGACACGTGATCCGATGAGATGGACACGT